TTATTGTGCATCTCCAGTACGGTTGCAAAAAGGTGGACAATTTCCAGTAAATTTCGGAAACATTCCAGGATTTTGTTTTTTTTGAATATTCCAGGGATTTTTTTGGAAAGCTTCCGGAAATTTTCCACCCCTTTGCAACCCTCAACTCATCTTGATTTAAGAATGTTTAGATATTTGTGCTGGAAAAACTGAGGAAGTACGGCACATTTGCAGGAAGTTATACGCATTTTTGAATTAAAAATGTCTAGAAATGGTCTGTTTGAGGTGCTGCTGTTTTTAACAGTAATTGTTGTGAGTTTTGTATTGTTAGCATGTCATCTGGCGTACATGGTCGTGACGTGAGAAGAAAGATCAGATGTGACAGACGAGTTATTATTGAACTATTCTGTCACTAATTAGTCGTGTTAGCACATTATAGTTAAACTTTCAAACCTGTTCATGTGCGATCAGCCTGTAGTCCTTCATTAGAAGAGTTTTACAGGCGTTTTGTGATGGATCTTTCATCTCAGCGTGAAGCGTCTCGCTCTCATTACACGAACCGTCAGTGACTCACAGCTCTATTAATCCACACAATATCACTAATTAACCGAGGTGATTTAGAGCCGGCTGCTCCGATGCTGCCAGATATTCTCACTGATCGTTATTGATCCATTAATTCATATCAGACGCTGCTGTGATCAGCTTAATCTGAATATATGACATCAGCATCATTATCATCGTCTCACAGAGTCGTTATCATCAGATTATTACAACACTGAACAAACATCAGGCTGTTTTATTGCTCATTATCAAACTGCTTATTAATGTCCTCAAACCGATATGCTGTTTAACACCTTCTTTATTTAAAACAAAAAAATTATAAATAAAAAATTTAATTAATTTGGAATGGAGCTGTTGAGTTATTGAACTAAACGGTAATAAAATAAAAATAAATAATAATAATAATAAAATAAATAAATAAATAAAATAAATAAAAATAAATAAAAAAATGTTTTTTTAAAAATAAAAAAAGATACAATAAATAAATAATAAAGAAAATATTTAAAGAAAATAAAAACTGTTTCATGTGTGCAGCTGCAGTATCATCATTCCAGTAAATATTTAGAAATGCAATAAATATACAAAGTGCAAAAACATTTCTCATTTTCAAAACTTGAAGCACTGAACTAAAACTAAATAAACTAAAACAAATAAATAAAACCCATATGGACAATTTAAAAACTGATAAAAATGACAAAAACAACAAAATTGCTAAAACTTTTACTCAAAATAATGTGAAAACGGAAAATATAAATGATATAAAATTCTATAAATGTATAAAATAAAAATTATATTAAAATATATACATTTAAAAAATATATATACTAAATTTATTTTCATTTAGCATTTTTATGATTTATTTAATTATTAGCTTTTCGTTATCTCACAAACCCCAGTTTGTGAAAGCCTGATTCAGATTAGATGCAGTACATTATTGTATTATTGTATATGTATTATAAAAAGTGTAAATAAACACTGAGAGCGATGCGGTTGTTGTGTTGGTTAAACTCCTCTGGTCAGCGATGCGTGTGATAAAGACAGAAAATCAGATCAGCTTGTGCTAACAGAAGTGTTTGCGCTGGTCCTGCAGAGATTACTGTAATTATCTCTGTAAATAAGGAGTGCATGCATCTGTGTATTGTGTGGTTGTGCATTAAAGCCCACCAGAGGTCCTAACACAAACCCACACGCAGGCGTCCTGAAATCTGCCCGTTCAGAACGCTGACCCTCATCATCATCATCCTCGTCCTCGTGATAAATGAGAGCGGCTCTGGGTGCGGTTCTGCGCTTCCGGTCTGTGTGTTTACTGGAGCGGGTTTTATCTTCTGGAAGCGTCTGCGTCTCCGTCTGTGTCTCCTCCCTGCGCAGGAATGCAGCCGCCGCACTGAAAAGATCTTTCTCCTCGTCTTCTGTGGAGGAGAACAAACACAAGTCTGTGTGTGTGTGTGTGTTTGTTACTGTCAGTGCTGGGAAGGTTACTTTGTAAATGTAACAGGTTACAGATTACAAGTTACTCTATTTAAAATGTAACAAGTAGTGTAACTATTTCAGTTACTTTATTAAAGTGATGTAACTGATTACATTTGATAACTTTCTAATGTTTTCAACTGTTAATCATTTTCAAACAGGCCGGGTTAACCTTATTACTGTCAGACTTTCAGAATCCTTCATCACTTCTATTAAGATTATAATAATTTAATTGAAAGCACAACCACCACAGAATCAGCTCCTCTTTTCACTTTGAGATCATTCTGAGGTTAAATGCAGATTTAAAATCATAACAAGATATAGTTTAATAACAATGATACTGTTTTTGAAATCAAATCTATGCATAGCTATGACAGGAAACACTGGCATCTAACAGTTAATCTTAAAAAATAACGCATATACATAAACCCAATTAGGAAAAATAAAACAGTTATGGAATAAGCATGTGTCCTAAACTCCTGGGGTTTCATAT